AAAACGTTATTTTATTTATCTCCAGTCTGAAAATGGCGTATATATTTGTGTATATATGTTGCCTACTGACCCACTCTTTCATATGTATTGTGTATTATGGATATTATATGTTATACAGGTTGTATAAATGTTGCGATGGATACTATAATTATAATTATACTACGTGCCTAGGTAAGTACAAACGTCGCACGTGTGTCACTTCCTTGCACTATATTTCCCTACATTACTGTACACTGTTTTGTTGTGTCGTGACGTGGTTTGGCGTGATGTAGTGTAGTGTAGTGTAGTGTAGTGTAGTGTAGTGTAGTGTAGTGTAGTGTAGTGTAGTGTAGTGTAGTGTAGTGTAGTGTAGTGTAGTGTAGTGTAGTCTGGTGTGGTGTAGTGCAGTGTAGTCTGGTGTAGTGCAGTGCAGTCTGGTGTGGTGCAGTGTAGTGTAGTGTAGTGTAGTGTAGTGTAGTGTAGTGTAGTGTAGTGTAGTGTAGTGTGGTGTGGTGTGGTGTGGTGCGGTGCGGTGCGGTGCGGTGCGGTGTAGTGTAGTGTGGTGTGGTGTAGTGTTGTCTTGTCTCTAAATGTATATCGTTACATTCATTGTTTGCATTAGCCGTAAAATGTCCATAGTTGATCTAATAATAAAGACCTATACCGGTTTCCCATTATATATCGTCATCTATGGAGTGTCACCGGTTATAATTTTGAATTTACTAAATCTCTCCCTAGAATGTAAACCTGGCTATTATGGCGATGGCTGTTTCAGTAACTGTCAGTGTGAAAATGGTGCGGCGTGTAGTAATGTAGATGGATCGTGCACGTGCCAAGACGGTTACTATGGTAACACATGTGCTTTACCCTGCAACTGTAAAAATGGCGCAGATTGTAGCATGGCGGATGGGTCTTGTACTTGCCAACCTGGTTACTATGGGACTTTGTGCGGGAAATCCTGTAACTGCCCGGATAATTCTGTGTGTTCGCAAACAGCAGACGACTGCGTGTGTGTAGATGGATTTTATGGCGCCGATTGTGATGGGAGGTGTAATTGCTCCAATAACGCCATATGCGATCCGATAGAGGGCACGTGCTCTTGTAAGCCCGGTTACTACGGAAGAGAATGTCGATACCGGTGTGATTGTTACAATGGCGCCCGCTGTGGTTCCACGGACCCTCATCAATGTGTCTGTCCAAATGAATGGGCCGGAAGTAGGTGCATAAATTGTGTGGACGACGGTAACTACTGCAAGGACAAATGCCTACATTGTTATAATGGACACACGTGCAAGGCCACTGAGCAAACCTGTGATTGCTCGCCGGGTTGGCAAGGCAACCGTTGCGATGAAACGTGTAATGTCGGGTTCTATGGAGACGGTTGTTCAGAAGAGTGTATGTGTGAAAATGGCGGAACATGCCATCATGTGACTGGCGCGTGCACGTGCACACCGGGGTGGATAGGGAATAATTGTACTGAAAAATGCCCAGTCAACTGTCAGGATTGTACCAAAGTTGACGAGATAGTTTGCACATCGTGCAAATCTGGGTGGATTGGTTCAAAGTGTGAGAAATCTTGCAAACCAGGGACGTACGGAACGATGTGCACAAACATATGTCCTTACTGCGACGGGTCGTACTGCTATCACGTGGATGGGAGTTGTGACTGCCCTCACAGGTAAGATATCGAGTATACGTGAATATGAGATATGAAGAGTTTATTTTATGAACAAAAGATATGACTGCCCTCACAGGTGGCATATTAAGTATCACACTAGTATGTACATTTGAATGTCAAGTAAATTTCGATAGTAGATGGTTTATTATTATTATTATTATATTGATCGTGTTTCAGCTCAACTGGCGTAGCACTGAACAGATGTGGTGAGAACGCGTGTGGCTGTCTCAACGGTGGGAAGTGTAACACTACATCTCTGCTTTGTGACTGCCTTGATGCATGGCTAGGAGATTACTGCAATGAAACGTTTTTACTAAAAGAAAGTAGTAATGATAGCGAGAACCAAAATAGTAATAATGGTGAGATTCATTAGTTATTAATACATTGCTCACACTTTCAACTTGTGGTGTTTTTAAACCCAGGTTCTTCAACTTTACCTGTCGGGTTTTCCAAATCGATCGATTGATCAATCACAAAAATACATACCTCTGCATTGCCCTCTGATTAATAATTCTAGTTATAAATTATAAGTTTATAATAAGTACAATTTCATTTGAATGACCTTTTAACTAATTTCCCTTGGAATGATGCTTGAAAAGAATATGGATGTGTTGAGTTTGGTCCACGTGACGTGTAATGACGTCATGTCCATTATTCACTATTTAGATCTATCATTGAGAAAGGATACTTTGTCCAAATCATCTGATTATATTAAATAATTACCAAGGACCTGCACCATATATTATATTCATCGGTCCTAGGAGTATTCAAAATTGTAAAAGTCTGTCCATTGTAATGTTAGATGTGCGAGTGTGAGATAGGTGCTTTCGTTACACGTCCTTTGTAAGACGACCTGAGCCGTATGGCTAGACTATGCGGTGCTATACGTCCGCATCAGTTCGAGTCACGCAGGCAGTGCGATAAACTTTAATTAAAGCGGGGGAGTCGTCACCTGCGCATGCGTAAGATGGCCATAGCGTGTCATTGTTTACAAACAAGCGTCTACCCATGAGCCTTTTGCGTTTTTAGCGCGTGTTGTTTCCGTCGTTTGGGACCAAATTCCCGCGCGTGCGCAGGTGACGGCCCCCCTTTAACATAGTCTTTACCATTCCTCATGTTTGGTGTTATTTATATGCTTTAGCAGTTTATGGTATTTTACAACTTCTTGCATTTCAGGTACAAAGAGTAAAATTGGTTCATCTAGCAGTCTTATTGACATCATCGCAACTGTAGCAGTCATCGTTGCTGTGATGATCTGTGTTGTGGTCGTCATTGTAGTGTATGTCATGCGACGTCGGAAGAAAAATAACAAAAAGTCAAACGAGTTGTACGTAGTCTTATTTCTCATCTCTGATTAGTTACTTGCTAGTTCTTACACCCTAATAAGTTGACAATGCGATACATGCTCTTGCGAACAAAGTCATTACACAATATATGTTCTCACGAACAACTCAAGTTACTACACAATGTAATATTCCAATGTTACGAACAAACTCGTTACACAATGTAAGTAGT